AGCGGCTGGGATGAGGATCAGCACCTCCAAATCTGAGGCCATGGTTCTCAGCAGGAAACCGATGGACTGTCCACTCCAAGTAGTGAATGACTCCTTACCCCAAGTGAAGGAGTTCAAGTATCTCAGGGTCTTGATCTCAAGTGAGGGAACAATGGAGCGTGAGATGGGCCGGAGAATCGGAGCAGCGGGAGCGGTACTGCAGTCGCTTTACCTCACCGTTGTGACTGAAAGAGAGCTGAGCCAGAAGGCAAAGCTCTCTGTCTACCGGGCCATTTTCATTCCTACCCTCACCTATGGTCATGAAGGATGAGTCATGACCGAAAGTACGAGATCGCGGATACAAGCGGCCGAGATGGGTTTTCTCCGCAGGGTGGCTGGCGTCTCCCTTAGGGATAAGGTGAGAAGTTCAGTCATCCAGGAGGGACTCGGAGTTGAACCGCTCCTCCTTTGCGTCGCAAAGGAGCCAGTTGAGGTGGTTTGGGCACCTAGTAAGGATGCCACCTGGGCGCCTCCCTAGGGAGGTGTTCCAGGCACGTCCAGCTGGGAAGAGACCAAGGGGTAGACCTAGGACCAGGTGGAGGGATTCTCTTCGCTGGCCTGGGAGCGCCTTGGAATCCCCCAGTCAGAGCTGGTTGATGTGGCCAGGGAAAATAAAGTTTGGGGCTCTCTGCCGGAACTGCTACCCCCACGACCCGACCACAGATAAGCGGGAGAAGATGGATGGATGGAATGGATGGTGTTTGTTACCCGGGGAAACACTCACAAGAAACACTGGCTGTTGTTATGCCTGCTGTGACGTTAAGTTACCGCTTGTAATTGTGCCTTTACAAGCTTAAAAGTTGTATTTATCATCTGAATTTGGCGAAACAAGTTTAATACTCTAAAAACCATGACTTTGTTTATTTGAAATCAGATGAAAACAAACTGTCACGGACCCTGCTGTGTTATCTATGATTAGTATACGCTTTTCATTCATAATTTCAGCGGGAGGGAGGGGGAGCGGCGCTGAGGAACAGCAGAGTGTGGGTTGACAGGTGTCTGTGTTGACATTCCCCTTATTTTGCGTCAGCAGAGACAGGCTACAAGAGTCTTAGGTTCAAGTTAGACAACTAATGTCTGGGTTAGTGTTCATGACTTCATGTTTATGTCATCTTAATGGTTCATCTTAATGCACACACATTTTCCGTGCTTTCCAATAGTTTAAAATAGTTTTATTCCACTGTTAAATAACCTGTTCAATACAAACATGCCACTTGTAAAAATTGAACTGATATTTGTTTAGTGAGCTTATTAGAGGATGTTCCCTGAAAGATTGAAAATGTCAATGAAGATGTCAGACTTAGTATATTTGTTAATTACTTACAATACATGAAATTTGTGTGTGTGTGTGTGTTCCAAGTGAATCTGCGGCCCCCCTAGTGGCCAGTACATAAATGATGTGGCCCCCACCACCATCCAAGTTGCCCATCCCTGAATTATACAAAGGGTGTTAGAAGCTTTGCTACACTTAACATCATTAAGGCCTGTATTAATTACGGTTATGAAGCATTGTAAATCACATCCGTGGCACTTTCTTCATTATGGCTTAACGCAGCCCTTTCATAAGTGACTCATGGCATGCTGGTTAGGAAACAATACACTAATCAACATAGAACAGCATGTGTACGTGGCACAATTACCTCGAAGATTTCAAGAGTCATCTCAGATTGGTACATACAAAAATAATATGCCTGTACATTCACTAAGTCCCATATTAACCACCACCACCACAGACATAAAAATTCAAAGACACAACTGGCACCACTACAATCACAACAAATTATCTCCACTGATAAACACTGTGTACTTAAGATATACGGGGGAGTAGTATGGAGATACCTAACGTAAATGTTGCCTATAGCTAAAATGTTTCAGTGTCGCTATTTAAAATGGAGCTAACAAACACAATGATGCTGTGTGTAAAATATGTTGAGTGAGCACCTCTGTCTTCTATAAATGACGGATATAAAGTACTGGTATATTTTGCTAGCCAAGCAGGAACGTGATCATGGTGAATGGAAAGCTTTTAAATGTACTATTTTATCTGTTTATTGTGTTGTACTGTTGGAGTAGCCTGTGACCTAAGATTTTCATTGTCATAACTACACCGTAGCTATGCACACATGACAATAAAAGCCTTGAAACTTGAATGGGTTCATGTCATGGAATGTACTGTATATGGTTCAATTAATTTGTGTTCGCTCTGCACTGGGCTTCAATTCAATATAAACAACAAAAGACCACAAATGTTCCCAATACTATACAAATTACAGTAAGTGTCTAAAAACACAACATTAAAATCAGCTTCTATTGTTTTGAGCAAAAAGAAAAGAAAAACTTCACTGCGATAATGTCACTACATGGCGAGATGTCACAAATCTTTACAGGTGCATAGTTGAGATCAAAATGAAGTTCAAAGATGGGTGTGTTTGCCCTCCCAGTTTGTGCGCCCGTGTCGCTGATGGTCTGATTCAATGACAAGATGCGAACTAGTTTCTCATTTATGTTAATGAAAACAAAATGTGTCCACAAAGTACCTAAAACCACTTGTGTTTCTGATAACACACATATTGCATTACCTTTACATGTTAACATAGTCAGAATGGTTGTATTTCGAAAATGGTTATCAGTGGTTATTGTTGACATGTTTAAGGAGCTACAACTACACAGTCGATTTGCTCAAACGCAGATTTTGAACAGATTTGCTTTTTCAAATTATAATATAAATACATCAGTAGACGTTACAGTATAATGTGACGATTGTTTTTTTTAAATTTGTGTCTGCCTTAGGTGTAAGTTCATTATTTTAATTTTGATTCAAAGTATTTAAGTCAATTTAGTAAAACTCCCAATATACACTTTGTTTAGGTCTGTATTATCCCCATGGAGGCAATGAACCCTCTGTGTTTTGTTGCATGCAGCATTCCCACAAACACATGGAGCCGATCAGTGGTACAACTAGATAATGATATCATCAGCACATGGTGGGGCCCAAACCATATCAACCAAGTGTTACCACCCTGCCTTGTTCTGCTCATGTGAAGCACATGTCTGATAGCCATCTGCCAAAGGAAGGAGGCTTATGGGGAAAATCACGAAAGAAGAATGTTTTCTTTCTCCACAAATATGGCTTATGGAAGATAGCCGCCTTTCAAACTTAAATCTCTCTTAATCTAAGCCAAAAGTTTAACAATTTTGAACAAACTACAACTATACGGTTTCACTCGCTGAAATGTATGCATTGTTGCATTCAGCCGAGCCATGTGTTATTCTCATAATCATATTTTTCTAAACAGAGAAATATATCATGCTGCATAACGCAATGGAAGGAGAAGGAAACTTTGACCAATGAGAATTTCTGTGGCCATGGTGGTTGGAGTCCTGACCAGTGGTGGTGAATGTGGTGTTTAACTGTGTTGGCCAAAAGACACGATCATGAACTGTGTGCCCAGGCCTCTTTTAGACAAGCCTTCAGTTGAAACCATGCCCCTGTGAAAAATCATCCCTTTGCATGTGTAGTGTAATGCAATTCCAATGTTAGCAGTCAAACCCAAATAGTGTGAGAAACACATCAGGCCAAATTCAGTGTTGTTTCATGTGTGCTGATCTATATTATTATGACTCAATCACTGTGGTCATCAAACGCATATTCAGTCAGTTAATAGCTAATCCCACTCCAATTGCCTCACCCAACCCTTAGTGAGACATCCAGAAAGTCTCTACTAAAATATTACTAACTGAAGGAAAACATGCTGTCACGTGGGTGGTTCTCACTTGTTTAAAGTGATAAATGAAGTCCATATTTTTTCCATAATTCTTGTTTTTTGTGGTTTTTGGCAACAGCTTGGGTGATAAACAATCAACGCTTTGATGTTTGGCACTGTCTTCACCAGAAATCATCTTGCAACTATACTGTCATGCTTTGATGTGCCTGTCGTGCGAGCAGTTCCCAAACCCCAAATTAACAGGCTTTTATTTTTCTGCTGCAGAACGACTACAACTCATGGAAAAATGTCATTTGACTTGCAGCTCAGAGTGGCCATGTCTATGCAGGTATTTGTGCACTACACGCTTCCGTACAAACTTCGATCTGTTTTGCTATATAACTGCATGAATTATACAATGACTAATAATGGTGACTGACTCCATATGGTGGGGAAACAAAATACAAACATACAGTAAACTCCCTGAGCTATTATTGAACATGATGTAAGACCAACAAAAAGAGTTGGCTTAAGCTTGAACCACAATTTCCATACTGGCCTTACATCATAATTGAGAAAAACATTCACAACTCTGACAAACAGTGGTAGATGATATCAACTCATGTAATGAATTGTCAACTTTGTTTTAAACTGTGAGTTGAATGATTTTGCCATGGCATGCCATTGCCACAAAATTCATAATCATCTAAAACCTCTACTGGTGTGTTTATGATTATTATGTTTTCTTTTTGTGTTGTTGCTTTTGCTCTGTGAGCAGCTATATTATTACAAAATAACCTTATATCCATACCTTAAGTGTACTTGTATAACATTTATATAATTGTACTTACTGAGGTACCTCCACACATTTCAAGTTGCATCCATTACAGAAGAAAAATGAAAGCCCCATTAAACTATAATGCTAAACCAGTTGTGAAATAAGTATATCTATCTTTTACTTAAAGTGGACCTATCATGCTATATTTGAAAAATATATTGTAGGGCCATACCTATATAAAACATGTCTGAAGTTTTTTTTTCAAAATATCAAACAGATCACCCAATGTAGCCATGCCTCTTACTGATCAAACCCCTCTTTTGCAGCCCTGTTAGAGAAACGTAGATCTTGGGTCCTTAGCTTGAAAAAAAAGAAAAGAAGAGGAGGCGGAGCTAATGCCTGATCAGAATTCTACCGGAGATAAAGTAAAATTCGGTTGTGATAAAACGCCATCCTGTTTAAACCACGTCAAGGATTATTTCTGAAACAGTATGGAGCTCAAATGCTTTTTCTCTTGCAGGTTTATCACAAGGTGAGTTCTTTTTTTATTTCCTGCTTTTTAAACACATGTGCTCTACAGTAGTGGTTCTCAACTGGTCAGGCCTCGGGACTCACTTTTTTCTTTGTCAATAAATCGCGACCCGACATTTTGAACCATTCAAATCCATTCAACAAAAAATCGTGCTGTCATACATGTATATATGCTTTTCAGCATACATTATTAATTAAAGTGAAGTACAGTGCATATATCCCTTCATGGAACTAAAGTATGCTTTTAAAAAAGCCTTAATGAGACGATGGAATCAAAGATGAACTGTATAAAATAAAAAGGCACACATGCTGAAAACCCAACCACAGAAAAAAAAGTCTGGAGGGATTCTCCCCCAGGAGATTTTTAGAAAATACTAACATATAAACTACGTATTCTGGTACACTCTGAGAAGAAAATAAATACATCTATTATAATATTTTATGCCATTGTTTGTTTTTCTTTGTTCTGACAGCTGAACATGCTGCTCCACACAGAAAGAAGAGTAAACGTCCAACGTCTACTGCATGCACAGCGTTAGAAAATCGGGCCTTCAAAATAAAAGTTTGACTTTTTTCGAGAAAAAAAAAAAAGATAATTTCGTTTCTGCGACCCACTTGAAACGGGTCCGTGGGTCGCGACCCACCAGTTGAGAACCACTGCTCTACAGTACAGGGTAGCTCTGAGTGTTAGCGAGGCTTGCTAATGTAAACAAAGATGAGATTACGTCCAAAACACGTCAGGCATTGTTTCTGATAGCAACTTTCTGTGAGTCCCCCGCCGATATTACGTCATATCGGCAGCAAATCTGTATCCGCTCGTTGTACCCCCGTTTTTTTATATATTTGGGTACGGAGGAAAAGAGAAAGTGTTTTATTTTCTGACGCTGCGTGAGTTCCCCGACACACCGGGGGGACACATTTAAAAGATATAAAAAAGTGCATTTTGCATGATAGGTCCCCTTTAAGTGAAAGTAACAATTCCACAATGTAGAAATAGTCTGTTTCAAATGAAACCCCTACATTCAAACTATCACTGAAGTAGAAATACAAGGACTAGGATTATCAACATTTACTAAAAGTATAGACCTTCTCTATTTAAAGTTGCATCTACCTGAATAATCTCTGACTTTATGCACCACCATGTTTATCGGCTCCTGGAGCAGTGAGGTGGACTGGTGATAGCTTTGAGAATGGATGAGCAGATTGAAGAGGACTACAGCGAGGAAAGGCTTGCATGATGACGTCCAGACAGGTGAGTAAGCTACAATAAATGCATTGACCTCACCTTGATAAGAACATCAACAACCACCATTGTGTTTTTGCAAAAACTGTGCAGTCTCTCCATTGATGTAATATGTGCGTTTGTTGCTGCAACCACTGTGGAAGTTACATTGTTTTTACAACAATATGTTGTTTGCTCTGGTGATATTGTATACTGCTTTTGATTATATAGGACGATTCTAAGGGACATCACCCTTCTTTTTAACATTTTTATTTTCTTTTAAACATTTTCTGAATAGATTTAAACCGACTTTCTCACTTTTATTACAGCATAATTTTGCCCTTTTTTAAAAAAAAAACCTTTACCCAAGTAAATCATTTTAATCAAACACATTGTAGTGTAAACAGTGCATACAGTAAAATGAACAAATATATGAGTATCTGTCAGTCACTCAAGTAATTAGCGGTATCTAAATATAAGCGATTGAGGTACGGTCAAGAGACAGAGGGTGTTTCTCAATGTCGAGGAAGGCTCCTCTATAGCCACTATTTCAAGGATGCTACGTCATCGAGTCCCGCTGAAGAACTGTTCCAATCTCCAGGATCCTTTGAATTATACCGAGGCCGGCGTCCTTCATTGCGGGAAATTTCGAGGCTGCACATGTGTATCCTCCGCGGTTTGAAAATCCCCACAATACTTTGCGCATGGACCAATTTCCAAAATCTTTGGCGGAAATCGCGCTCCATTTAAGGCGGGGCCTCACATATGACGCACACCTGCAAACCTGTTAGCCTGTTCCACCATTCTTTGTTTTCCGAGGCTAGGAAGGATTCTTGCCCCGCTTCTGAAGGACCTGACTCAGAAGACATGTCCTACCAAGGAAGTGTCCTCGACATTGAGAACACCCAGAGTGAAGTAAAAGTTGCATTACATTTTTTATTAAAAAACATAAAAAATGAGTTTAATAATATTACTCTATAGATTATGCCTGGATCCAGCCCTTTCAAGAATTTCTCAATCAAGTCTCGGTTTACAATTCAGAGGAACTAAACAAGATTTAATCAGAGTTAGAACACAGGATAAAGAGGATTTACTCAGGTAATTTAGTGTCTTTGATTAAGATATGTTTGAATTAAATGTTTATTTTCGGATCCTCAAGAGTATAATTAATCTAAATATGAGCCTAAACTATAGACCCAAAGCACTAATTGGTCTTTGTTGTTTAATCCTGGTTTGCAGTTTGTATTTACATTATGGCATAAGGATTTCTTATCACGCTGAAGCCACTGAGGCATCAACAGGACCGCACCACAGCTGCAAAGCTAATTAATGTGATTTATGCTTGTTTGGTTGCCTGCTAACTTGCACATTTTTGAGGAGAGCAAAATCATCTGCAAGTCATTGTCTTTGGTAAATAAGAAAAATTTGAGTTTTCAGTAAGCCTAACACTGGTTTACCCCTTTGCCCGGTGGTCCATCTTGCACACAAAGCTCGCTTATTCTGCCTCGCACACTTATGTAAGCTGTGCATAAGCCTCAGCAATAAGCCTGAGGGTTTTTTGAAGAGTTATCACTATTAATGCAAAACAATAAGCTCCAGACTTTGTGAAATTCCATTTTGGTAAGCATTACGTTTTAGTTTGGGATGCTGATGATTTTGGTGTTTTCACAAGAAGAAACAACTTCACATTCAATATTTTTCTGTAATAAAAAGTTATGTAAATCTGCATACAGAGTTGAAAATAGTTGACCCAGGTGGCAGTGCTGGTACAGGATACACCACCTTAACACACAGAAAGGCTATATTCCCTATGAACATTTAAATAGATTTTAATTGTGCCCCAAGCAGTTATTTACTGGGTGAATATTTCAGGAGGCTGGACATGAGCCCTTGAATATGCTAGTGATTATAGATATTTATAATATCAGAGTTGTTGTTAAACTGTTGTCAGGGGGCTTAGATTTCCTTGCATCGCTCCTGGTTATTTGTATTAGCCAGCAGCAATAACCATGAAAGTAAGGCGAAATGCTTAAGTGAACACAGTTGGTTCTCCCCCCCGCTGTCTCCCTCTGAGCCACACTGTGCAGTGGCTGAGGCGGGGCTATTTAAAACTATGGTGCTGCCATTTGGCTTGGGGGTCCACATGTGCGCCGGAGGTCCTCATTTTGATTTTAAATCGCCTTGACACCAAAACAAACAAACTCTCCTCACTGCACCAAACAGGCCTGAAAAATTATGGACACGCGGAGGGATATGCAATTACAGCAGCTAATTTGCGGTCGCCAAAGCTACCCCCATTCCCAGTGCCCCCAGCCACCCTCGATTTTAAATATTGGGGAGCACAGAGTGTGTGTGCATATGTGTGTATTTGGATGGGGTCTGGTGAGGGGCTGTGGGAGAAGTTCCCCCTCACAGCTGTAGGCAGGTCAGGCAGCACCAGGGCGATTAGCTTTGCTCATCACGTACAATTAGGGTTGGTGCTCTGCGAGGAGGCATCTGTTGCTAATTGAAGCAGAATAGATATCAAGGAGGTCTATTCCGTATACATGCAGAAAAAAGAACCTCGTCTGGAAGTAAATAGACTTTGGCTTGTGTGAAATTGGAGCTGTGAACCACCTGCAAATCGTGCAGGATACTGCTCTTGATCAGTGGGTTTGTATGAGAATAAGTAGAGTAGTACACCAACACTAATCGGTCATGTCATTTAATAAATGAGTGATGAATTGGTTCCAAAGCATTATCAGTATATAAATCAACATATATGCACACAGAGGCAGACAAAGAGGCGAGTTATTAAGGAAAGGAGGGGGATGGGAGGCAGAGATAGGAGTCTGAGTGTGAACGCGTCACAGTGGAGCCAAAACGGGCCTGTGATGGCAATCTGATGCGACTGAAGCGTGTGCCCACTGGCCAGCTGACATCAGCCAACGCCGCTCTGACCAAACCTCCCGGCCCCTTCATTCCAAGGCCAAATGCAGACAAAGAAAACCAGGGAGAGCACACACAGACACCCATCCAAACAGATTTCGTATTCATGACAACACCCTGAAAAAGCAGAAACTGCGTTTGGATTATGTTATTGACAACATTTGACACTAAAACCGCATTCTGTTGCTGATTTAAAGCTATTGACGCATTTTGTGGCTGGATTTATTTTATACTGTTGCATTAGCAGCAAACAAAGGTGCAGTAACATACTGGGATACTTCATAGTGTGAGAAAAAACAGCTGCAACCAAGAAGAACAGCTAAATCTGTCATTGATTAAGCTACTACTTTATACAACACATCATGAAGAGTTATTTACATGATCTGTCTACATCTACAGGATGTGTAACACTTGTAATCACTCAGCTAATGTTGCTCCTTTCTGGCATTTATACTCTTACTGAATTCTATTTTTACATCAAGTTCATTCCATCATAGCTTTGTATGTAAACATGTTTAACACTTTAAATAATAAAGCAAGACATATCACATATGTGAACAAATACTTAAATGGTTACAAAATATTTTCAAACATTGTATTCCCTCTACCTGTCATCTGCCCCTGAGGTCACACCAGAGGACGGAGAAAAGGAGAGAATCGGCATTTAGTTTAGCCAATGACACCGAGCAGGACTTCAGATAGGAGCATTCTTTTTCATGGCGGTCGGCTTGTGAGAGTTAGTTACGCTGGAAAATGTATGTGACCAAGAGCAGCTCAATATAATATCGGAGTGCTGTGTGAAGATTTTATATGCTCCTTCTAGTGTTTGACACACACACCTTTCACACATACATGCACACACACATGCTGAGATATCCCTATGGGGTGACAGAGCATAACAGGGTTTATCCTCTTTGACCTTTGCAGTTTGAGTCCGCAGCAGGTTGAGCTGGTCTCAGTGTCGCGTGGTGCAGCAGGAGCCATAGTTATCAACGTTGTGGCTCAATGGCTCTTTCTCTGAGTGTAATAAGTGCAGTGTACCACTGACTCTCAATGTGGACTTTCTGCCTGCACAGTGTGGTATGTCGGTCATGACCCCAGTACCCACAGTGTTCAAACATTGTAGCTCCATTAATCATGTCAGGATTTATTCACTGAATACTATAGCATGCATTTATAGTTGGATTATTGCAGGTAGACTGGAACAGGACTCTTGATGTTTTGTCTGTGAAGTGAACTCCATGAAACATTTAGTTTAATTAAAATGGCCCTATTGTGCTTTTTGGGGTGTTCCCTTGACTGTAGTTTTTGGCAAAGGCTAAAATCCCAAAGTTTCTCTCCCACATCCCGTCTGAAACGCCTCCATTGGACACCTTTGTTTACTTCTGTAACATAGTGACATCACTATATAACATAAGCGTTACCGTGCTTCTATTGTCTAGTGCTCAAACACATTGTATGTGATAGGCTAAGGAACGGGATATTTCAGAGTGGGGTGACCAATCACAACAGCCACAACCAATCACAACCAGCTAACCAATCAGATCAGACTGGGCTCTGGTTTCAAACAGAAGGTGAAAAGAGCTGTAGCAGCACAAAAATAAAGCACTTTTTGAAACATAAAGCATTTGAACTTCTCACAGTAGAGGCACAAAATACAAATATGAACCTATAAATGCTCATATGTCATCTTCAAAAAAATAGTTCTTTGTTGAGGGGACTGAAAATAATTGAGTGCCTACTTACCTATATTCTAAGGGAGCATTCCACTCGTTGTTCACGTGTCGTGTTGTGTAGTCACAGAAACAGCTATCTAATGTCTCCTGCAGCTTAGAGGAAATTCACTAAAGTTAGAAAAGATAACCCTGATGATGTTGTCTGTTGTAGTATAATCTTAAGATGTGCATCTTTGGAGCTTGACCCATATTAGACACGGCAGGATATCTCTGCCTCATTCCTGATATGTGTAAACCTACTTGGTAATAAACCCGATTCTGTTTAGGTATATCTCTGTATGCTACATTATACAAACAATATTTGTAATCAGATGCAATGTTCTACCTATCATATGTATGCTGATGACACTATTGTATACTCATATG